GAATTGACGCCTTTGAGCTGTGGTGCTGGAGAAGAGTACTGAATGTACCATGGACTGCCAAGGAAACAAATAGATTCATCCTAGAGAGGGTTAAACCTGGCTGCTCCTTGGAGGCAAGGATTCTGGGGCTTCGCCTGACATACTTTAGACATGTTGTAAGGAGAGACAGGCCTTTGGAGAGGGACATCATGCTGGGCAGAGTGGAGGGACAGCGCAGGAGGGGACGACCCTCTATGAGGTGGATTGATTCAGTGACTGGGGTGATTGGGATGGATGTGTCAGAGGCAATGAGATTGGCACAGGATAGAGCAGGGGTTAGGGCTGTTGTACATAGGGTCACAATGAGTCGCAAACGACTCTACGGCACTTAACCACCACCACAACAACAGAGGACATCCATTGGGATGTTAGTAAATGCTGTCACTGAGCTCCAGAATAATGGAATGAATGTGAACTTTTCTTTTTTGCATTATGCCCAGGCAAGTCCGTGTAGAAGCTGACAAGACAGCTTAGTGTGTTATGGTTCACTGTCCACTGACTCTCTGACCCGTCAGGGATGCCACCTGCCCAACTCATACTTTGTCTGAGGTCCCATTTTAGCCTCTACAAATAAGATTACTGGTTTTGGAGATTCTGAACTTCAAAGTAGTAGAATTTTTTTATCTCGTAGATGGTGTTGGTGTTATTATGTGCTGATGAGTTACCTGCGACTTACAGTGACCCTGTGTAAAATACTTCTGAAGCCTCCCTGTCCTGAAGCAGTCTCACTAACTCTGACTTACCTACCCAGTCACTCCATCTCATCCAGTCTTCCTCTCCTGCTCTGTATCTCCACCCTTCTGAGCATGATGGTTCTTCTCTGGCCACATGTCCAAAGTATGTGAGATGGAGCTTCAAAATCTTTGCCCAAAGGAGAACCTTGGATATTCCTTCTCCAAGACCTATTTGTTTTCTTGGTAGTCCATGGTGTATGTTCAGTCCTCTTCTCCAGCACCACAACTGAAAGGCATCAATTCTTCTTCTATCATCCTTTGTCATTGTCCAGCTCTCTGATGTATAGCAAGTAAAAGACTAGGCACACCTTAGTGGTCTAGTAGGTGTAGTCTTCCTTAATTTTAACTCATTTAAAAAATGCTTTCTTGTTTAGGCCAGTGGAAGGAAGACTGGAATGAAAGTGAGATAGAGACCTAATTGTGGCAGTTAGCTTTTGGAAACTTAAAAAAAAAAAAGCATTTACCATTTCCTAAATTTGTGTTCTTTGCAGACTTGTCCCTGTATATTCGACCTTCAGAATAGTTTTTCTAATTGTACACAAAGAAGTGGAGCTTTTATATAAAGAAGTGGCGTGTATAAATGATGTGCATTAGAATATAATAAATCTCCAGTCATAGTTGATTAAAAAATCAATAGATGTATTACCTAGCAAATCAGACATTTAGCTAAAGAATTGATGAACTCAAAGATAAGGCTGAGAAAATTAACCAGAAAATTGTAAAGAGAAATAGAAATGAAAAATATGAACAATATTAAGAAATGTGGTCTCTAGACTAAGAAGATGGAGTAGGAATTCTAGAAGAGATACAGAAATAATACAGGAGAGACAATTTAGAAAAGATGATAATCAAGACTTGATGAAACATTTCAATCTTTTAGAATCAGGACTTTAAGAAAGCTGTGACCAGAGCACCTTTCAGCAATGAAAACATGATAAAGATCTAAAAATCTACTGGTGATAAAGATAAATTTCCCTATAAAAAAGAACAAATTGATTATGTACTTTGCATTTATAATATTAGAAAAAATAATGGCATGAAACTAATATGGAGAGATGAAAAAAAATCACTCTTAAACTAGATTCTAAGTTACCTATTGTCATATGTAAAATAAAGCCATTTCAGACAAAGATTAATATCAGACTTGGTGATGAAAGTTCTGAATCATTATGTAGGAAAACAATTTAAACTCATAAGCTAGGAATACAGTGAAGCTTTATACATTTTATTTATTTATGTATCTTGGAGAATTTTACCATTATTTTGGGCAACATCTTATCTGTTTGGTGTTTTAAGTTGCGTCACATTGTAAGAACTGGCAGAGATAAAGAGGTAAAAATACCAGTGAGAGTAGGCCCTTGAACCATAGAAGAAGTTGGAAAATAACAGCATTATCCAGTATCTAAGAGGCTTAACAGTTTGTGTGTGTGTGTGTAAGTGTAAAAATATGAATATGGTGTAATTCACAGTAGGAATAAGTCTTGCTTGTTGCTTGTTCTGTTAATATTTGACAGTGTTACAAATTCAGTACAGTCATTAATCTTTCTTACTACTCTGAATCATAAGAAATCAATATTTTTATCTACCCTGACTTAAACAAAATGTTGTGTTTTAAAAATTAGAAATTAAGGGATCTTTTCAGTGTAGTCTTAAAATTAGAATTTTGGCACTTCAGAGAAAAAAAGGACAATATTTTGAAATGTGCTAATAAGAACTTTTTAATAAAATCTTTTAGTTTCTGGAAGTCTTTATTTAGCTTTGGTGACAGAATATTTCAGTGATACTTTTTATCATTTAATTATCATCTTTTAATTTTCTTTTAGAAGTGTTATTTACTAGATATGTTGGTTTTTTCACTTCATGAAAGTCCATAGGTAATAGTAACTTGGGGTGCGATAGTGGTAATCATGCCTGAAAGTAACCTTTGATGTCTTCCTGGTTGAGAATATAAAAATAAAGCACATTAGCTGAATTTATGTGTGTAGTAGGTAGTAGTAATCTATTACAGCTAAATTTGTATCATAATCTCAAATAAGAAACATCACATTTTTAAAAGTTTTCAGAAAGTTGTGAATAATTACTTTTCTAAATAGGTGACATTATAATAAGTGTGATAACTAATGAAATATTCTGTGCCTTTTCGTTTTTCACAGCCAGTACCTTGAAAATTACCTCTGGATGAATTATTCTCCAGAGGTGTCCAGCAAGGCCTATTTAATGTCAATCTGCTGTATGGTGAATGAGAAGTTCAGAGAAAATGTCCCTGCATGGGAGGTAAGGGACTTAAATTATTACATAGCTTCATGCTGTGCCCACTCAAGCTGTTGGAAAGTAGCAGAACTTTTCTCTAAGTGTAAATAGTGTTTTTAGAATAATCCTCAAAAACTCCTTCCCATCTGGCTGGAGCTGACTTCACTGAACGTCCAGCAGGTTTTTGGAGGCTGTAACTAGCTTTTCTTTGGCTTTCATAACATAATCAGTTGATAAAAAGTTTCTTCCCTGACAGTTATACTTTTAAATGCAGAAAAGACATGGGTACTTTTCATCTGCTCAAAAGTGAGACAGTAAATAAGATAAAAACTTTTGTACTAGTCACCCAGATATTTAGTAAAGGACTGTCATTCTTGGGCAAAAGTGAGCCCAGATTAAACTTTTGATCCTTTGTCTTACTGAGAAATCGTAGGAATTTTTTGAAATTGCCTCAAGCTAATAATGTAGGAGGAGAGAGGATGAAATGAATACATGATAATTTTTCAGCCTGATCAGTTTTTTTGGTCTTAAAAAACGTTTTGGTGATTAGTGCTTGAAATAGAACAATAATAATTGAGAAGAATACACAGATATACAAAGAGGAAATACACAGATATATAAATGTATTTGATAATAACTTGAAATTAGGTTGGGGAAGGTATTAATAGCCGTCTAGTCTTGGCTCTCTAGATTAAATAGAGGAAGATGCCCTTTAACAGGATAGATAATAGACTATAACGGAATACTTTGAAGTTTCAAGTTGTTGAATTTGATTTTGGATATACTGAGTTTAAATTGCCTTTGAAATAACTAGAGTATGTCGTGGACTGGAATCTAAGAATTCCTAAAAGGAGTGTGTACTAAACATGCGTATTTGGAACAGCATATTGTTGTTTGAAATAATAACAAGGTAGAAGAATGGGAGTAAAACTCTAGGAGCACTGCTACTTAGGTAATAGATAAAGGGAATGGAGACTTCAAAAGAATGAAAAGCCACCTACAGGGCAGTAGTATGTGTGATATAGCTTGTTTAGAAGTGAATGATAGATAAGTAATGATGATGTAGACCACACATTTCAAGCATATACCTGAGAAAGAAGAGTAGAGTAGATAGAGAGAGAGAGGAAAAAAGGGAAGGAGGGTAGGTGGTTGAGGGTGGGTAGATAGGTACTACAAGAAAGAAGAGATACACTGGTAACTGGAAGAGTAGATATTTTAAAGGGTGGCTTAAACATATCTACATTATTTACATATTAAGAATATAAAGCTAATATGAAATGAGAGAGGCCATTTTTTAGCTTAAGTAGAGTGGAGGAAATGACAGTATATAATAAAGACCTTGGTTTTTTGTTATGTGTCATAAAGTCAGCACTGACTCACACCTGACCCTCCAGCAGGAGGCAGTAAATCACACAGGAAGAGATTACCCATCTTTCTCCCAAGAACATCTTGTAAATTTGAATTACCTATCTGGCTTTGGATTGACAGCACAACTCGTCACCAGGTGGAGCACCCCTTTTGTTTAAGTAGAAGATTTAAAACATGTTAAGTCTTAGGAAAATAAAGCCCAAACTGAGTATATGTATAATCCACTGAAGAAGAACTAAAGCCATTATTTAATTTGCTAAAGTTTTCAGCAGCACTCATATTTCTGCCAAAAACTGCCTTTTATTTTGACGTATTACTGTTAATCATAAATAAGTCTAAAATTCTTTTTTTATATGTACCAGAAAAACAAATCTAATTGTTTCATTTTGTTAATACCCTACCAGTGTTTTCCATAAGGAGGAAAAAACTAGGTGAGCAAATAAATTAAAAAAAAAAAATTTTAACCTACAACCAGGAGAAGATAACATAGATGAATGGGGTCTTCTAAGACTCAAATCCCTATGCACATCCAAAAACTTCTCCA